TAATGAAAGCACATAATAATTTTCGCGTTTTGTATACCCTTGCATGGGACACTATACACTTAACATGCAATGTGTAACGCTGACTGGGAGCTATCGTTGAGGCCATACCCTCTTAATCAGTCTCTATATCTATAGACTATAAGCCTATATTTTCAGTATCGCACTACCATAACATATAGCTAAGATAGCAATTAACGATCTATGGATGAGTGAATATAAGGAATAAAATTAAATATTTCATCTTTGGGTGTTCATGTGGATAATTATTTAAGGATATTTGAACTTCGGCAAAACAAAGATAATTTTTCTGCATTTTTTTTAATTTTGTGTCTTTTATCGATATTATTAACAGGCAGTCAGCACATCACGCAGTGAAGCACAGCGCGTAGCTGCGGAGCATTTAAAAATACCAGAAATTGATGGCCAGTAATTTTATTTTTAATTTAAAAACACAATTTTTTCATTTTCTGCTCATTTGTTGTTAGTTGAATCAACTTTGGTGCTGTGCGTGAGATTGAATTAAATATGAAATTAATTAACTTAAATATTATTGTTATTGTAGTATTATTTTAAATTGCTGTTTGTTTTGCTGCAAACGACCGAACTGGACATTGGCCATACGCCAGTCGCCATTGGCAATTGGGATATGGAAAATGAAAAGCAATTCTCAAAGCTACGCAAGTGTGCAACCCCTGACCCTGAACTTGTGCCCCCCACACACGAAATGTGCCACGCGCAGACAAAGCGAGCCAAAAGTAATTACAACAAAATGCAAAAGGCTACTGGGCGTGGCAGTAGAAAGTGGTAATGCGGCAAAGTGGCATAGATGGGTAATGGAAGCTGGTTCCATTGAATGGGCCCGAAGCGCATTGTAATTGGCATTGGGCGCGTCCGTAAGCATAATAACACGACTCCAACTCCTTGTAGTTGTGTGTCTGGCATGGAGTCAAGTCCTTGCCTTGGCTGTCGTCTCTCCATCTGAATCAAATGCAATATGACTCCCCCAACTTGGTGTCCAGGCCAAACAGTCTGCTGGACAGACAAGAGGAGCACAGTAGAAACTTGAAAAGGTTAAAGTCAAATGCCGCGCCGGGCAGACAAAACGGCTTCATCTGGGCCGGACAAGAAAAGGGAGCCTCCAAACTTCGGCCAAGTCGTAAACTTCGACTACGCCTAGCAGTTTAAGCAGCGCTAACTTTTGGATCCCATCCAAGGCCTCAACTTCCACTTGGACTATTCAGTTTGGCGTTACGCATAAAAATAGCAAAGAAAACGGAACTCTGTTTTCCACTTGCTAATAATAAATGTGACAATATAAGGACGAACATAAAATGCTTTTATATAGTACGTCTTTTCTATCAACCTTCCACAATAAGCTAAAGATATTTAATTGGCAATTAAATTGAAATCAGGCTCTAGACTAAGTCTAATACAATGAGAAGTATATATTAATTAGTATATATATATATATATAAGTAAATATTAATATAAGGGTAATCAGCTTAATTAAGTGAATAAATTGTTCATTTATACAAGATAATAAAAAAAGAATAGAAAAATTTTAACAAGATTTAATTCAATTTTTTTGAATTGACTTACCAACAACAATTAGTAAAAAGTGTGATATCAAACACTGTTTAAAGTACCGTAATTAAATTTGATCAATTTGCTTCGAACTATAATAAAATGTAACACAATCTATTAAGCTTTAGAAAAAAGATTAAAGAGGTCAGTTAATATAATTAGAATTAATAATTATAATTATTTTGTATATAATAAGTTTATTAATTGAATAAACGACGGAAATTGAAATGAAATTAATTTGAAAGCATCTTTCTTTCCGAAATATATTTGCAAATAATTATACCCAATTTAAGAGCATCACAGAGACTTGTACCTATAATGAGCTAGACAAAGGCAAAGTTGCCAAAGCTATAAACCAGGCCAGCGCCTCTATAAATTGCCCAGGCTGTGTTTCCTTCAGCGTTTTTTTCTTGCTTTTGTGGGCTGTCTGTGATTCCGCATGAAATTTTATGCGCGCGTGATTAAAAGTCACGTGCGTGGCTAATGGTGGGACAGTGGAGCAAGGAAGTGGGCAGCTGCTGCAACTAATGGCCAAGTGGCAGCCTAAATGCTGCGACTAAACAATGCTGATCATAATCTGGCAGCTACAGATGCTCACAGCCACAGTCGAAGGCTCTTTAACGAGCTGAACTCTGCACCAAATCGAGGAAACTGGGTCTCTGGGAGGCTGCGGCGAGACATTTAAAGAGCAACAGCTGCTCCCATTGAACAATGGCAAAAGGGCTGGCCAATTGATTGGTCTCCCGCTTCAATAGCCGCCCACTTTTGTGCTTAAGAGTTCAGCTGGCTTTTGGCCAGCTTGCTGCAACACTGTGTGGCAACATTGTGTGGCAATTCGTGTAGTCAGGCGCTGATTGTCGTCTGATTGGCACTCGCTCTTAAAATAGAGACTAGCTAATTGTCGCGGCACGCGCCACGCTTCAAAGTGTTCAACGGTTTGACGTTGATTGCCTTCCAGGGCATAGGGAATTACCTAATTTTCCTCGACTTGCAATCTGTATACCTGTCCCCAAAGTAGGTCAAAAGTGCAACGAATAAATTGCACAAAAGCTGTGGAAAGTTTAATTCTTAAATTGCAATGAAGAAATTCGCAATCGGACTTCAAAATCTAGTTACGATATTAAAGTATCTTTTGTATAAAAATACACTGCAAATGTATCTGCTAAATATGGTATGCATTTATAAATGAAACACTCATTAAAAATAAAAATGATTGGAATCTTTTTAATTGGAAGCTTTTACCACCTAGCTAACTAGCTAACTTTCATTTATATTAAGAAAGTACATATATTATATTAACATATGAAGAAGCTCTTGGAAAATTCGAAACAATTCCTCAGAGTTCGTTTTTATACAATCGGATGTTGTATAAAATGTTAAAGCTTAGCAAATTCTCAACTGATTTCCAGCCACATATATATGTGCAGACTAGCTGGTTGCAGCCCAAAACTGACACGCCCACAGCCTTGGGGAAAGGGGCAAGAGCTTGTCAAGCGTGTCGTCGGCTGACTGCCAGTGACTGCCAGTGAATGCCACTGCCGACATGTGGTGACAACGGCGAATTAAGTTATTTGTCAAATGTCGAACTGTTGGGCAGCCGACTCAGCTACAGTTTTAGGCCGGTGCACGCCTACGGTCCTAGCAGGGATTCAGTTCCAGAATCGCAGCCAGAATTCGAATGGGCCGGCGCTTTGTCAGACTGTGTGACAGCAGTTGGTGCAAATAAAGGGATCCAAATATTTTATGCAAAAGCTGAAATCAATTTTTGCCAATCAATTGTAAAAAACGATGACATAGGCAATGACAAGAGCTCCCTTATGCGCCCGCACCCAGCCAAACGAAAGCGTTTCAAATATTGGCTCAATGGACAGCAGCCAAAAACAACTAAGAATGTGCCTAAGCGAGAGACTGCTACACCACGATAATACCCTGTACACAACTCCGATGGAGATTGATTTGCATTCTAGTTGGTAAATTTAATCAAAATTAATCACTTGCCACAAAAAAACAAAATAGTTTTCTTCAGAATTAAAGGACTTAAAAAAATACCCATTTTGCGTGAAGATAAAATGTAGCCCGCATCTTGTGTGTGAAAATAGGCACGACTTGCATTATTTTCAGTACAACGGGCAATTGTTAATAAACTTATTAATATGTAAATGTAAATTATTTAATTTTTCACAACGTTTTGAACCAAACCGCAGTTCATGGATCTGTTAAAACACCTTAACAAACTTAATGCAGGCAGTATGCTTCTAAATTTATCTCAGCCATGGACAATTTTATAAGGACTTGCACCCCTACATATATTTACTACAGTGGCAGTCAGGAAACAGCTTTAAGACTCATAATATGAACATTTAAATATATAAAGGGTATTCAAAGATGGACTATTCAAAGTTCGACGAGGCTGGCAAGATGCTTTGAAGGCTATGCACAGGCCGCAACTGAATTAAAAATTTAATTTTTCAATCAAACCGGCAAACAGTTTGAAAAGCCGCTGTGAAATTTGATTAGCCGAATCTCAGCTTGAATTTCCATTTCCACTATCATTTCTATTCCCATTTGCATTTCAATAGGCAGTCGGGTTGCAGCCGTTCTGATTGACTGACTGATTGGCAGATTGACCGCGGCTATAAATCGACCCGTCATCAGCATCTGATTTGATCGATTTGCTCATTAAAAGCCCACAAGCGTCCACATTTCGAACTTTGCACCTCTCGTGCTAAAATGTCTTCTCTAAGCCTTTGAGGGTACTATGATTTTGGCATGAATTTTGTGACGAATTCATCGAAAAATTTCGAACAAAAAATTAAGTCTATTTAGTCACGTTTTGGCACCACACAGAATATACTTATAGAAACGCACCCTAACAAATAATTTGATATAAAATATCGTGAATAGTCAGTCTATCTATATACAAATTCAGTCTGGTTAAATAAATCTGTTGGGTATTTTTAAATAAATCGAAATAAAGATGCTAAATAAAAATGTTCATAATAATTTGACGTACCATACATTTTTTCTTATCTGCTTCTATTTTTTTTTAATTTGAAAATTGATTGAATAATAAATAATTTTTAGATCAGATTATTCGATTAAATATTCTTCCTTATACGGCACAGTAACAATTAAATCATTCAATGTATTTTATGCAGAGATCAGCTCACCGATAGAAACTTATTCACTATATCACTTACCCGAAAAGAGTATATATTGACCGACATTCGTATCTTCTACCTTTCTGACATTGTTCAGCTTGATTTTGTCGGAAATATGGACATAGCGATTGCCTGTCCGATAAGCTGGGTAAGCCGCACAGCTGAGTGCTGGCGCATCTAATTACAGCTTTTTGCGGGTGATACCCAGTGAATTTATTCGTGAAAATCAGTTCAGTCTCATTGATCTTAAAGGCCATGCCGCACGCGAGCTGCCGCTGGAGCTATTTGCTGGGCCTGCTCTGGCTAAGTCAGCTGTGGGCAGCAGGTGGAGCTGGCTATTTGGAGGACAACTATCCGGCCACCGTGATCGAGGATGCGCATCTGACCACGGTGCGTAGAGCTCGGACAGTGTTCGGAATGAAACTATTCCAAAATCAACAATTTACAGCTCCAGCTGCTGGCCAAGTACAAGTATCCGGGGGAGGCGCATTCAGTGACCACCGAAGACAAATATATTCTGCAGATGCATCGTATTGCCAGGCCTGGAGCCAAGCCTGTGCTGCTGGTGCATGGACTGCAGGACAGCTCAGCAACATGGATTATGATGGGACCGCACAGCGGTCTTGGGTACTTCCTCTACGAGGAGGGCTACGATGTCTGGATGGGCAATGTGCGCGGCAATCGCTACTCGCGAGGCCATGTCAAGTTAAATTACAACACGGACAAATCTTATTGGACCTTCTCGTGGCACGAGATTGGCATGTACGATCTGCCCGCCATGATCGATAAGGTGCTGGCCAAGACTGGCTACCAGAAGCTGAGCTACTTTGGACACTCCCAGGGCACCACGACCTTCTTTGTGATGACCTCTAGTCGGCCCGAGTACAATGCCAAGGTACATATCATGCAAGCTCTGGCGCCAGTGGCTTTTATGACACATGTTAAGGGACCACTGTTGGGATTGGGCCGCAACCTGTTGAAAGTCTTGGGAGAACGGGCTGAGGTTACACCCCACTCGAAACTGGTGCTGGATAACTGCATGCTGTCAGCAGCCACAGTGCAAACCTGCATGTACTACGTGTGGAAAATAATTGGCAAGAATACTGCGGAGCTGAACAAGGTGGGTAACGGAAATGGAACCTCGAATCTCCAAAGTATTTGCTAATCTTCTGCCCTCCTCAGACCATGTTACCTGTGATGTTTGGTCATGTGCCCGCCGGTGCCAATTCCAAACAATTTCTTCACTATCTGCAGCTGCAATTGTCAGATCGATTTTGCACCTACGACTATAATGCGAAGGAGAACCAGCGCACCTACGGTCGTGCCACGCCTGTGGACTATGCTTTGGAACGGATTACAGCACCGATTGCTTTGTACTATACCCAGAATGATTACCTGTCGGCTGTCGAGGACGTTAAGCGACTGATCAAGCGCCTGCCCAATGTCGTGGAGGATCACATGTATCCCAACAAGAAATGGAATCACATGGACATGGTCTGGGGCATCAGCGCCAGGCGCCTAGCACATCCCCGCATGCTGGAAGTGATGCGGCTCTGGGAAGCGGGCGGTCCACAAAATGGCACGCAGTCCACCACGGAATATAACGAAGGGAACTCCACCACGGCAGAAACAGTGCAGGAGGTGGAAGATGCGATGGAGGATACGGAAGATGAGATGGAGGATGCTACGGAACACGAGACACGATAAATTGGTTTTGGGTGTTGGGCTCTGTACGTTATTGGGAACATAAATATATTTAGTTGGCAAATTGTACACACTTTCAACTTGTTCTATTAATACTCTACTTATTACTTGGCACTTGGAGCTATTTGTTTCAAATTTAAAAGGTCTACACGGATATATAGATATGCACTCGCCCAGATCTGAATTGCCCTGATATATGACATTATTTATTTATATGTTTATTTATAGCCAGATATTTCCTCTTTCTCAGGTTATATTTCTACAGTTAAGGGTCCGACCCCATTACGCATGCTTTGCTGCTGCCGCTCTCTGACAGTTGCTTGTTAGTTTTACAACTGGAATTTTCATAGTTACCAGCACCTACTTGACTCTAATGTACGCCACTATTTCCAGCCACTTCTGATACCCCTCAGGTCTTCATCCTTGGCTTTTCCACGCAAGCATTTGTGGATTCGCAATACAACTTTCACCGTCTTCAGGATTTTTGCCCATTAGCTTAAAACTTCACGCAGGTGAAAGTTCATTGTGCCAATTGCTGAATGTGTCGACGGTTTATTGTTCTAATTCCGGTTGTTATCGTTGTTGTAGTTGTAGTTGTTGATGTTGTTGTTGTTGGTGGTGTGTGCCGACAATAGTCGGCTCAAGCGAGAAATGTGTCGCCAACAATGCGCAATTTTTGCCGTTGTTTTGGCATTTCATTTGAGCTGAGCACGCCCGCTGCCGCGCCCACTGGTTGAGACACATTTATAAATTACACACTTAACTCTAGCCCGCGAATAGGAACGACAACTGCAACAACAACAACAACAACTGCGAAATACAAAACGCTTCGAAAGTTGCATGTGTCAAATGCAAAGGCCGACATTTTGTTTGCCTGCAAGTGTGTGTGTGCGTGTGTGTTTCTGTTGTTCTTGTGTGTGCGTGTTGTATTGTGCATACAAAAACTTTCGCTCTAAGCGAAATTTTAATGAGCGCAGCTCTAAAAACCGCGAGACAACTTTTATTATTTTGGCTTTGCATTGTTTGCTATTTTAGTTGTTGTGCGCTATCTATGCATGTGTGTGAGCGTGTGTATGTGCAAGTGTGTATGTGTGTTGTTGGTCTGGGGGAAACGCATCAAAGTGCAATTTTATATCCGGGTTGGCAGCCATATCAACTTGCAGCAGGCGCTGAACTGCCATCGCGCAACTGCCCCAGAGCAACTCTGGGGTGTCGGCCACATCCGCTTCCGTCGCGTCGTCGTCAGCCATGTTGCGTCCGAGACGCGGGCCACAGCTAAGGGCCAGGCAGCTGGTGCGGGGCAGCTGCTTTTTACCATTGCTCGTTCGCTTCATAAATCATAAAACTTTCGCCGCACGTCGCCCGCAAGGATGCCTACATAGCAGCCCGCAGCTGCCCCTTGCGCCATGACACTAAGAAACTTGCAACATCGCAAGCTGCCAACTGACGCTAAGTGTTGAGTAAATGTTTTCGCGCCTCGCTGCGTTCACAAATTCCCCAAACATTCTCAGTTGCGCTGTTATTGTTGTTGTTGTTGCGCTTGTTGCGGATGTGGCACGTGTTTGTAGGAGTTGCTACTTTAGTTCCACATAAAATATCCATATTAATAACAGTACGAAATCCATCTCAAAATACAAACAAGCGCTTTAGTTTATCTTTGACCGAGTTATTTACAAACTAGCAGCTCAATTTAACAGATTGACCCTATGGGATGTAAAGGAAAATTTATGTATATGGCTGTGCGAAAATTCTTGACTATATAAATTTTAAATATGGATATGCATTTGTAAATCTTTGAAATTGGTTACTTTTAACTAACAGCTCACTTTCGAGCTTCAAATTAATCTCTACAGATTCATTTCTAACTAGCATCTAAATTTTGTTTTGAGATTTCACGTTATTTATCTAGCTCCGTATTTAACTTCTCTAGTAATAAGATTCAAACCCTAGAAAAGGCTTTTAAAAACAGAGCATAACAAAATTAAAGAGCGGTTCAATTTGGAATTATATCTTACCGAAGGCAATTCATTGTGCATGTACTCTCAATCTTATTTTTTTTATTTATTTTGGTAATTACTTACTCCACCGAAATTAGCAAATTTTAAATGCTCCTCGCAAAATTGATGAGGCATCAATACACAAACTGACTGAATCAAAAACATAGTTAAATAAATTTGCATATGCAATTTTAATATTTATTATTTGTTTTCCATATGGCTTTTTAAATAAACTCATTTACTTGTCTGCGTGCCTGTGGTTGATAATGCCATTAAAGTGTTCCGTATTTTTTCCGTTTGTTTGTTTTATAATGTTTTGTATTATTTTTATTATTGTGTAAGTTGTTGTTATCATTACAACTATAAATATTAAACATGCATAGTGATTTTAATTTTACGTTATTTGTTGCTGCTTTTTAGTTTTGTTTGTGGACTTAAATATAAAAGTATAAATAATGCCGTACATAGCTTTTAAGTTTAAATATTACACATGTAAAACTAGCAAATATTAATGTATATGTAGATTGTGGATTCTCACAAAAAAAAAAAACATTTATAGCCCATGTTTGTTAATTAATTACATTAAATGAAAAATACATATATATATAAAATACAGTATGCTGATATTTACACGAAACTTAATAGTTAGTACATTAATTAATAGTTATAAATAAATGCAAATTTTATTTTGTTTTTAGGCAAACAAAATTGGCTTTGAAATGTGGGTTTTTCTTTATTATATTCCTTTTTGTTTTTTTTTTTTTTTTGTGATTGGGTTCCAGCAAATGTTACGTGTATTTTTAAGTATTTTGAAAAATTGCACACTTAACATTGAGAACTTTGTGTGAAAGGTTTAAAATATTTGTATTTGTTTGCTTTGATTTTTAGGCAGTATTCAAATAGCTTGTAAAACTTGCATTCAGTCTTAACACTAAATACTTATGGGCGTGGAAATCTCATTCGTTTCGACAGACCCCTGAAAATTTGTGGTATTTTATTTTGATTTTAATTTTTGTTTGTTTTGTTGCATTTTTTGTTTTTTGATATTTTATCATAATTTTTGGCTTGCAATTTAACACGCAAAAACTTGGAAAAAACTCACACATAGATACACACATATGCGATTTCTGAGCTACCCTAAAGGCTAATGGATTTTAACTGCGTTTATTTGGGTTTATATGGTTTTTAAATTGAAGCATTTAAATTTAATTTATTTTTTCTCTCATGTTCGTTTTGGTGTATTTTGCATGGTGCTTGATTTTTGGCTTTGTGTGTTGCAAAAAAAATGTATAACTTGTATTTTTGTTATTTTCATCTTATTTTACATGTAATTTCGTTTTCAATTATTTTTAATAATTATTTGATTCAAGCAACGCCGTTTAATTAGTAAAATTTTTTTTTTTTTTGTTGCAGCGTTTTAGAAACATTGCCTAGAGTTTTGAATAGATACGAGTAGTTTGTAGATATGTCGCTAAATTTTGCCCGAGACTACAGTTATAAGCATAAGTATGTAAGTAAGTGTTATATGTTTTAATAGATTATGCTATTGGCTATGGGTAGTATATATAAGTATATATGTATATAGACACCGATAACTGCTAAATGCCAAGCTATATTTACACAATTCGCTACTCCCCCAACAAACACTTCAAAAATAATCCATTTTTGGCGCATCCAATGCCGTGTGCATGGTTAAGGTGACGCCACGATTGATGCTCACCGCCGGATAGAAAACACCATAAAGATCCCGAAAGGCCACCGAACCCTGTGGCATCTCGTTCACCAGAAAACTGAGCGTGTGCCGCTCCAGATCCAGGAGGACGCCAATTGTGCTGCCCGTGGTGATGCCGCCCTCGACGCGGCGCTCATGTATGGAATTGTGCTGGAACCAGGAGCGCTGCCGATCGATGTACATGGCAAAGGATTTCTCATCTTTGCCTGAAATTAATTGTTAAATAATATGGGGTCAATTTATTAAATATGCCAAGTTATGCCCAGAACGAAATCACGTTCGAATCAAGTTTCTGAGTTATATTTGAATTATTTAGTTTTTATACCCTTATCCCACGGAAAATGGTAAGAAAGAATATAATTTCTTTAACAAGCAGTAAGTCCTCGAACAAGCCGAGTTTATTAAAAATCACACTAATCGATAAGTATCAATAATTTTTTGCAGTTGAATTTGTTATGTTAGGCATTTAATCATATTTTTTAACTCTGCTTCCGTCGCTTTTTCTTCTCTGTATTCCTGTTATTTATTCCGAACTTAGAAATGCGAATTTAAATGCACTCTTCAATACCAGAACTTTAAGTTCATTTTCCGTCAACTCTTTCTCGCTATATTTATATTTTATGGCCCCATGCGCAAGTCCCCTGCCAAATCGCATTTTCCATTTCATTGTCAGGTTTTCCCTCACTTTTCTAATATTTTAAATGACAGCTGCAACAACAAAAACAACAGCTCCGACAACAACAACAACAGCTCCGACAACAACAACAACAACTCGTAAAATAACTTGGCAAAACTGCATTGTTAGTGTCAATGTCAGCCGCTTGGGGGCGCCACCTGCGCAAAAGTTGCGCATTTCATTTTCCAGCTTCGGAGCTGAGGCGTTTTGCACATGAAAATTTAATTTAAAAACTTGCGCGTTGCAGTACCCATTGAGAGACAGAGAAGGGGACGCAGGTTTGGGGGACGCTGCACATGCTTAATGGCGCGTGGGAAGCTTTAAATATAAATGGAGAGTTTGCTGGCATTCCCTGGAATAATTTAAACAGAAATGCGAATCCACAAATAAACTTTTGTCACGCGCAAACTTGAAGTGTCGCACTTTTAATTACTTTTGTCTGTCTAACAATCCCATAACCCATAACCCATTCCCGACACGGCACCGGCACCGCCCCCGATCCTTTTAGCAAGCAGACATGCCCTCAACCAAAACGCATTTTCAATCAATTTGCTTTCAGGCGGCTCCGCACGCCTTTTGTTTGTGTTTGTTGGCACCTACCTACGGACGGCTTTAGATCCTTGGCAACTGAAACTTCTTGGCAAAAAGTTTCACGCACACGCAACAAGAAA